TTTTTTTTTTTTTTTTTTTTTCCTTTTTTTTTTTTGTACAACGGTTTATAATACATTTGAAATCGTTCGGAATTGCAAACTAGAACGGCACGCTACTTCCGAGGAAAGAAAAGAAAAACAAAAACGTTGACATTGTGCAATTTGCTGCCCCAATTTTCAGCGGCAGTAGTCCCTGCATTTGCTGTGTTTCAAAAACGTGGATCTTAAGAAACACGTAAAAGGAGGAAAAAGAAGGCAAAAGTTGGCAGACATCCAGCATCTCGTTTTGTGTGATTTTTTTTTTTGTTTGTTTCGTTTTTAAACAATGCGGATGACAATTTCATGATTAAAAATGCTTTTTTTGTGTGTGTGTGTGTGGGGGTTTTTTTTTGTGTGTGTGTGTTTCTCTCTCTCTCTTAAAATAAATACATCGTATCCGACGCTTGATCTGGTAAAACTCAGCGGCTGACAGCGCTGGGAGTCCCCTCCTGCTCCTCCTCCTCCTCCTCCTCACGGCGTTTCGAAGCCCGCCACGCGGTATCCCGTTTGGTTGGTGATCACGCTCCCGTTCTGCCCCTGGGGCGGCTGCACGCTGTAGTTGGCACCCATCCACGCTGCTGACGACTGCGTCTGACTGTCAGGGGTTTGGGAACAGAAAAAAAAAAAACCCAAACCCCAAACAAAAAACAAACCCCAGTTCGTTAGGTAAATGTGTCAGGAACGAGGGAGAATTAAACAGAGACGGTGCCCGAGTGGGTGGTGGGGCCGTCCTGGATCTGCACCATCCCCATCCCACGTCTTGGCAGCTTTTACGCTGCTACCGGCTCTGTCACCTCCCTGGGGGGGGGCAAAAAACCATCCCACACCCCCCCCCAAATACTCACTTAAAGCCCTGCTGATTCCACGCTTGCCCGTACATCCCGTAGGCGGGGACCTGCCACCCGTTGGGCACATACTGCCCGATCTGGGCGTTGCCGTACCACTGGCCCCACTGCCCGTAGGCCGGCGGGTAGCTGATCTGGTTCTGCAAGGACAAACACCCGGGGTTAGTTAAGCGGGGCCTAAGCGGGGCCTGATTTCCATCACCCGCCTGCTGAGTCTGGCTTTGAGGGGGGTTTATGAGTCTGCTGGCTAAAACAAGACCGTAACGGCTATGCAAACGTTCCGTTGGGCACTCCTTTTGAGTTTAATTACTAGAGCGTTTAATTACTAGAGCGTTTAATTACCAGAGCGCCCTGTTGCCCCCCCAGTCACCGATATAGTTGTCATCTCAAATATCCGCAGAGATCCAGGGAACGGGAGCAGCAGCTCCGTCCACCTTAGAAGCTCTGCCAGGGGCTGGACAGAATTTTGCAAGCTTTCTCCAGAATTTTACATCAGAATTTTTCATCTAGCCAGCACGTGCACAGCCTTTACAGCCACTTAACGGGGTTTCCAGCAAAGATTAATTTTTAGCAGAAAAGTTCTGACCTGCTGGACCGGACTGATCATGTCTGGTGTCTCCTTGCCCCAGTAGCACTTCACTACGTGTCCTTCTATAGTTGTTCCATTGACGGAAACGATGGCGTGCGCAGCGCTCTCATGAGAGTTAAACCTGTCGAAGTAGAAGTCATGGAGATATAAACAACTCGGTGAGTGACAGCCAGGAGTAACCCTGAGAGATCTGGGCTCTGTTGGGACGCCAGCCTGGCTGCAGAAACTTATCTCCTGTCACCCTCAGAGCGGGCAGCAGGGACGCTACGGCCACTTTTCCTGTCTCGGTGTCCTAATTCTCCCTCAACAAACTGGAATATTCCAGCGGCAAGGAGACCAAGTCAATTTACAATGACTTGTTGTGATCTGTTATCTGGTATTTTGTTACCTGTTATTTTTGTTATTTTGTTATGGTCAACAAAGAGATGAGGATGCTGCTGGAAAAGACTCTACAACTCCACCGTGTGCCCCAGTAACGCCACTGTGAAATTCCACACGAGGAACAGACAGGGCTCTCTCCCTGCACCACACTGGACCGGGTTCAGGGGTTTTTCCTGCTCCTGCCCGGAGCGTTACACACCGTAACTCTCCGCAGATCAGGCTGCAGTCAGAGGGCTGCTTGCAAAGCGCAGCCTCCGGCCAGGCACACACCCACCCGTGTTCCACCAACACCAAAAGCCTGCGAACCCGTAATTCTCCTTAAATTCACCAACAGGCAAAGCCTACCGTACAAAGGAGTAGCCTTTATCCGGGAAGACTCGAATTTCCATTATCTGCCCGAAGGGAGAAAAGGTCTGGCGCATGAGCTGTTCTAAAGCAGGAAGAAACAGAGCAGCAAAATGAGGCGGCTGCAGTTGTTATTCAGAGAGTTTGAACGCGATGGGGATTTGAAGCCACGATACCTGTCAGTCCCGAAGTAACACCTCCGCAGTACACAGTGCAGTTGCTCGGGCTGGACTGATTGACCACATCGTCGTAAGACAGTTGTTTGGCGTTTGCTTAAAGAGATTTTTACAGAGCTTTTCAGTGGATCGGACACACATTACGTAGAAATTCTAATTCCTGGGTGGCACGAGATGTCGAGCGCAATCTGAAAACACCTATCAAGCAGGTCCGATATACTGAATTTAAAACGGCTCTAATGGAAACGCTTTCTTTGGCACAGTCCTACTTTGTATCACAACAGAAAGCCCTAAAAGCGAGGGAGCAAAGTTAAAAAGCCAGAGGGAAAGCAAGCTTCCAACCTGAGCGCACAGCAGCCAAAAGCGTCCCCCCCGCAGCGGTAACACAGCCGCCACAGCTCAGGGAGCTGCTTTATCTGGGAGGTTTGAAAGTGTCTGAGAGCGCCTCTGCCTTTTGTATCCGCCTTCCCCTCTCTCACAATCTCTGTGCAGCTCACACCCCTGTCTCTTCCTCCTCCCGCACATGGTGGGAGGTTTGCAAAGATGCAAATAATGGAGAACCTACTTTCATATGTACTCTTTGGAGCCGGAGGTTTTCTTGTCGCCCAGTTTGTTCTGATTTGCCTTCCACCGAGCCACTGACCACCCATCTGCTGAATCGCATTCTCTGCGTCCTGTCCACGAGAGAGAAGAAAACCCCACCGTCTGCATCTCCTCCTTTTGTGACACACCCCCCTGCCCGCCATTTGCAACGTGTCAAAGAAATCCTCCTTCAAAAGAAACACAGAATCCTCCGGGTTGGAAAAGCCCTCGAAGCTCCTCCAGCCCAACCATGAACCTCACCCCGACCCTTCCCAACTCCCCCAGATCCCTCAGCGCTGGGTCAAGGATGCTGTTAGGCCTCACTGAGTGCAACTAAGAACCCCCTCGATATACGCCAGACGTAGTGTCGCTCTGTCACGTCTGTACAGCGCGGGCTGTCACCTGCCACGTGCTTTAGAAATGCCAAAGCCATAGCAGAGTGTCTCAACAAACAGAGGGAGCAGCTTCTCCCTTGGCTGGCAAGGAAACTGAAGCAGGAGAGATGGGGGTTGACACTATTCCTTCCCCGAAGCAGCTGCTGAAACTCATCGTCTGCTGTTCAGGGGCGCTCGAGACCGCGCTGCCGCTTACTTACCCATTTATTGAAGAAGGAAACGAAGCCATATCCTTTAGATTTTCCTGTCGCCATGTCCTTAACCACACGCGCGTCTCTAAAAAGCAGAAACGAGAGCCAGTTCAGCGCCTTCAAAAGACGACCTTACTAAAACGACAACTTGAGTCACACGTACAGCTTATTTTCATGTTTCACCTTTACTAACGTCAACTGTTTATTGCACCAGCAACACAGTCAAAGCAAAAGGCTTCTTTTCTAAACAGAACTTTACTAATGCTTTGCCAGGTAGTAGCAAAATTAAACTTAATTGTGTAAACATGCAAATCAATAGCTTCTCTAACAAACGTATGTACTTTACGACAGTTGGCTCCCGCTTCAAAATGCTTTTACAGACTGTTAAGACACAAAGCATGGTCAAAGCAGCTATTCAAAAGAATCACTTAAGGCATGTAGCTGACTAACATTAGCTGAATGGCTCTCTTTAACCATGCAATTTTTAAACTTGCTATTTGCCAACACATTCTACCTACTCATTCAAAATATTAAAATAGAAAAAATGAAAAAAGATAGGAATTAAAAGGCATACGTCGCCTGTTAACTGAATTCTTTAATTTTCTCGGGTCAATTCGTTACCCCCTTTTTGGACTGTGGGCAGCTGTAAATTTTGAGAGATTGACATTTTCAGAAATTATTGAAGAAAATAAAACACCGAAACATTCATGTCTTAAACTACATAATACACATCATTTAAACTGCATTTGTACAACAGCAATCATACAGGACTGATTGGAATCTACAAGATATTAAAAAAAAAAAAAAAGAAAAAGAAAAAATAATTTATAAAAGTAAATAAGAAAACTACAACGTTTGTCCACTGTGAACTGTAGCTTGTAGTTAGCCATGGCAATTCTGTCCATTCTTCAGAGACACTCTGCAAAATAACCAGAGCCCTATTATTTGAGATTGAGTTAAAAAGAGATCCCAGCTACAAGAGCTAAACCCCACTTGTGGAACGCCACTCTACAGTGTTTCTCAGGCAATTTGCGTACAAGTTAGCTGAGGGCAAGATGCTCTCGAGTACAGGCCACCCTCTCCTCCCCTCCTTTGCCCCACACATACAGGCATTAAAAGAACAGAAACAACAACATAAAACCAGTCAGAAAGTCATGCAGTGTAACTTACGGCTGTATAAAATACTAGGGTTCAGAGAAACTAGCGTTAACATGTGCACAACACTGAGCATTCCAAGACTGGCGAGAAAAGTCACAATGAAGAGAAGGTTCGTTAACACTCGGGGTTTTTTTTTTAAGCCTTTACAGTAACTGCAAATGCTGCATTCATTGTAAGCCTAATTCTGGCACGTGTTAGCCCACAGCGCTGACACCATCGCCGAAGGGTAATCCCTCTCCCAAGGCTACAGCAGAAATGTTATTTCTTCCCTCTTTGTGAGACACCCCCCCCTCCTCCCCCCTTCCCCCTTTTTTCTTGCCCCCTTCCTGGGTTAGGTCAGAATTTGGGTCATATGTTACAAATTGCCTGAGAAGAGCCACTTTGGTAAGCTTAGATTGCTTTGCTCTGAAGAGCCTATAGAGGGAGGGGGGGAAAAACTCATCTCTACTTACCCTCAACTGAAAACTTTGAAAATAAAGACTTGAGAACAAGTGAAAACATGCGTACAGCAAGCATAAAAGGAAACCACAGTGAAAGTGTGCTTTTACAGTGATTAAAAAATCCAGATGCAAAGAATTACCAAAATTTCTTATGCGCTAATCATGCAGTAGTTCAACCTCGGTGTCATTAAAAAAAAAAAAAAAAAAAGCTCAGTTTAGCACCAACAAAGACAATGTTAAAAAAAAAAATAAATAGATCAGGAAATATTCCATTAGCACCACATTTCCAGAAACTAGTCACTAATGAAGAACAGGTAAAGTCAAGTAACTTCATTCGACCACTTAAGAAACAGTAGCAATATTTTTTCAGGTTAAATTTAAACAAAGAGAAAATCGAGGTCCCTTCTCTAATCCCTCAGTTTTGGACCTAGAGTTCAAAAGAGTCATTACGGGGACAATTCTTAATCTACTGCTTTTGTGAGGGGAAAAGAACGGAGTTTCATTTTGGACAGTCAGTTTGAGGCAGAGCAAACCGCGAGTTTGCCACGTGCCAGCTCTACAGCTGCGCACCCAAAAGCAAAAGCATCGCTCCCCCTTCCCCGTCAGCATGCAGCGACAGCTCTGTGTCCGGAAAGCTCTTCTAAGAAAAAATGGGAAATGGGCATGGCCCCCAAAATACGGACCGTGGTCCGACGTCTGCTGAGACGGGACACTCCCCCAGCTGAGGTTCAGCCGTCACTTTTTGCTTCAGGCTCGGGAGGGGGTTTGTTTTTTTTGGGGGGGGGGGGGCTGGTTTGTAAAAGGTGACTGTTCACGGAACTGTCACCTCAGAAACCCAGCGCTGACTCAGGGAGGGGGAACTCTCTTTCACAGCTCCCCCGCAGCCCCCCCAACACTGTCTATCACTGCCTCCCTTCCGCGCTCGCTCCAGCACTTCAGCTCTCCTGTAGAGCCCCTCGTCCCTTCCATCCAGACCACATTTGGCCAGAGGATAAATTGACTCTCCTTAGGAGTCCGACCCTCTGCATTTCCTGGATGACAATTACAAAAGATGCAGTCAAGCATTATAGTTGTCTGAAGCAAGTCACATTCAGATCACATTTAAATTTTTTTTTTTTTTAAAACCTTATCATAAAAGGAAATCAAGCTGGCATTAAAAGAGTAATACACTGGACTCTGAGGGGGAAAAAAAAAAAACAAAAAACAAACTTACTTCAATTAAATGCTTCACTACACAACACTCCAAAGCACTCTATGTTCTCTTACATCACCATCAAGAAACTTCAATGTCCAGTACAGACAACACTACAAGGAAAATTAATGGTTTACATTTGGAGGATGGAATGAACGAACCGCTCCTTACTCTGCTACACCCTGAATACAACCAAGCGGCAGGTGGAGACCTGCGAGCACCGCTCCCCGTGTGTAACATGTTCACCTGTTACACCACCGCTCTGCACCGCGGGGACCAGTGCAACTCCTTGACCCGAGATGCCCCATGGTCTGGGCCAAGCCCTTCAGGTCAAGGGTTTACGCTTGACCCGGTGCCAAACGCTTCGAGGCCACTCTAAGCTGCAGCCTCCGGGCGCCCAAACGAGTCTTGTGCTAAAAAAAGGTTCATTTTGTGGAAAATGGGAATTTAACTGAAAAAAAAAAATAAGGCAAAACCAAAAACATTGGCTACTGGTGGCCGGCACACCACGGCTAACAAAAAAATCCACAGCCTCTCAAAGACGTGAACGTGCAAACGGACTCGGTCACAAACTGAACAGTGTGATGGTGATCTGATCGCTGAGAGGGCCAATGAAATGCAAATCCCAGGTTTTAGAAGTCAATTTTTTCCAGCGTTGCTTTGCCAAAGGAGGCAAGGAGTATAAAACCAAAGCAAGTTGGATACAGCTTTTTAGTAAAGCAGAACAAACTACTATAAAGGAATCGGGTTACACATCCCTGCTTAATGCCTGGCCGTTCAGACTCAAGTCGCTGTATGAACAGATGAATGTATATTCCTGCACTGTGACAACTCTCTTTTTTTTTTTTTTTTTTACTTACTGAAACATAAGGCTGCCTCCATTTAGGAGAGATAACTTTTAGTTTATTTGCCCTAGGAAATTACTTACGATATTCTTCCAAACGGTGCAAAAGCTGCTTTTATATCTTCAGTTGTAATTTCTGGACTGAGGTCTCCGACAAAGACATGGAAATGGTCTTTTTGGGAAAAAAAGATAAAAAAGGATCTTAGCGTTTGAAGACGACCCCTGAACACACGCGCACACACGCACACAGAGCGTAGTAATCCCACAGAGCACGGCCTTCCAGTCATTATTAAAGACTACACGAAGACCAGAGTTTACTATGAAACAGAATTTACTGCTGCTCTAACAGATCCTTTGCTTGGCAGCGCTACAAAGTCAGTGATTTTAAGGATACTACAGTGACACACAGCATTTACGTTTTGTATTTTACGCTTTGCTTTGAAGACCAGTCAGCATTTACTGTACGAAGTCTGAAACTATTTACTTAATGTGCCACGACTACACGAAATTCTTTCGCTCTGCTCACTCGTATTAAGCTTCGACACGGCGGGAGATCACTAGCTATTCAAACTCTGATCAGCTGAAACATCTAGCAGTTTCAAGAAGCGTAGGATAACACTCGTTCTAGAGCAGGAACGTGTTTTGAACCTAGCCACAATGTCCGGGTTAACATCACAGGTCGTGAGAACAAATCAAAAAAATACCTTGCCTTGCAACAGTTTGCTGTTAAAAGCATTTGAGTTCTCAAAAGCCAACAATTTTGGTTGCCCAGCCAACACACCATGTGAATCCATGTGAATTCAATGTATGTGAATCCATGTGCAAGTCAACTAAGACTGAAGGCAACAGAATGGAAACAGTAATCCCTTCAATTTATATCAGAGCCATCAAAAACACACACCAAAGAGAAACAAAAGTCCTGTATCTAACGAGTTTTCTGTTATAATCCAACAGGATGTCACATCCCAGCAATACACAGACTTATTTGTGCTATGAAACTCGAGTTCACTCGGAGGCTGATGCAGTTTAGTCCCACCAGCTAATTCAAAGCCTGCTGAATGAAAAAAGCAGCGATCTGTAGGCTCGCTGTGAGCGACGGAGCCCAATTCTGGGAACAGCCCAGCTACGCCCAAGGAGCCTGTGTGCAGGAGTGCCTGCTGCAGCCTTGCGGGGAGCTGGCTGCTCTGCCTCCACAGCAGGGGACAAGGGGGCTTTGGGCTTTTTTTCCACAATGGCACTGGTAACAAACAGCTGGAGTTAGCAGCAGAACTAAACAGTGGGCACTAGATCACTTTCTGACGCTATAGGGAACTGAAAGGGAAGCCTTTACATTAAAAAAAAAAAATTCGTAATGAACAAAAACCCCATAAATAGCTTCAGGTGGTTAGTGAATACCCTCGAGAGATTTCATTTTATGTTTAAGAAGATACAATTACCTTGTGAACGCTGTGTGTTGACAACGGTACTACCTGATGACAAAGATTAGATTTGTTCTTAAGTTTATTAACACAAACACATTAAATAATATCTTAGGATTACGATCAAAACATTACTGCATATAATTGTATGATGCTTACTGTTTAGGTTTAAAAGCTACTTATACAAATCAAACACGTACTCAAAGCGTAAGCGACACTTACTGCTGGTATCTTTCTTCTGGCTGCTGGGGGTCGTTGCCCAGTTCACTTTGACCTCCTGCAAACGTCAGGGTTTGTGTTAGATCAAGCAAATCCCAGCTAAGCTCAGACACCTCCAGCACTTCATTCTGATGCTCCAGGGGCACCAGGAGTGCAAGTTTGGGGTGAAAGCTCAAGTTTAAGACACGTTTCTCGGCATTCCAAGAGCAAAGGTGGGCAACAGACCTGGTCTGGGGATTTGGTTTGCTTGGGTGGGGTTTTTTGCAGGGAGGGGGAGAGGGGGATGTTATCTCGGTAAGGTCAGCAGATATTACTCATATATAAAACAATCCTTCTGCCCGCTGGCTCTAAGCCCTCGCAGTTCTACATCCCCACCTCCCCCTGCATTCACCCAACAACAGTCTGAACAGCTTTTCTTCTCAGTACTGTCACATTAAGACCTCCGTCCAAACGAAGTGACTAACATTTGCAGCGTATCCACTTTGTCTCAAGCGATATTTCACCCGCACCATCTGAGATAGCCTGTTTTTCAACTCCAACTCACCCTGTAGACATGACAGCTTACCTTACCCATTATCTTCCGGCCATTCATAGCAGCCAGTGCTGCAGCCGCGTGCCGGTGCTCATAGAACTCCACAAAACAATACGGATCGTTTCCAGCTGTCTGATAAAAGAAACAACCAAAGGATTACTGATACAAACTCCTTCAAACTGTACCCTCACTATTCTACTCAACGTCTTATCCGTTACATCTAAACGTCTCAAAATGGACAGGCTTTCTTACTCTACACAGAAAGCACAGTCAACGCACTAACAACGCTCCAGGAGGTTCCAGTTCTGCTTTAGAAAGGTGAAAGTCTGGCGAGTAGGAACTTTTCAAATCTGGTCTACAACACGTAGATTAACCTGTTCACTCCCTCTCGCAGCATCCACCCATCCTTAAATTTAACGTCAAATATGAGGTAGAAATGATGCCCAAAGTACACGACTGCGATCTCCAGCTTTATTACACCCCTTCAATGAGGTCGTGCCGTACTTCCAGTGGAATTCTGAAACACGCAAGTACGGCCCGAAGCCATTAGCTACAAGACACATGAAAATCACTAGGCGAAAGCTCTTACATCCATTATCATTTTGCAGTTTTTGCACGGTCCGATCTGGCTGAACAGCTGGAGGATTAGAGCTTCGGTCACATCTCTTGACAGGTTCCCCACATATCTGTAGGATCAAATACAAAGTTAGAATTCATCCCGACGCTCCAGTCGCTCGTCAGTAACTGAGCAAACATGGCCCAACGTTGTTCCCCCAACACCCAACCCACCAGGTCAGGACATCGAAATGAAGCGTGAAGCAGGATTATATCCTGACTTGTGGAGCAGAAATTGTTCGGTGACAGACAGGCCTGTCCTCACTCCCACCCAAGGTCTGCATTTCTAAAACCACACCCCGGTTCAAAGCTGAACAGAAAGCCACATATGGACAACTCGAGCTACCAAAAGGATTTCCGTGTATAGAAATGGCAGTTCTGATAACCACACGCAACCACCGCTCACCAGGCACCGTTTCCCTAGATGCCCGAGTAGCTCAACCTGGTGTTTAGCAAGCACGTTACACAATATTTAGTCAGTTCCTTTTAAAAAAGGACTTATCGTTTCAAAGTGTTAGATCTGCCTGAAACAACCACGGGCACATATGCTCAAGTGTGGGCATTCCTTCAATCCTCCTCCATTTGGAAGGATCAGCCTCCTTAAGCACAAACACAACCCAAACCCCTGCTCTGATTTGGGATTTTGGCATTCTCAGCGATGGAGATCATCCCTGATCCACACGTGCGGGGATTTGTTGTTGTTGTTAAGCCCAAGTCACGGGATTTTTAAAAAAAGCACACACAGAAACCTCAACTCCAAAGGTGTGGCAGCACCCTTCCGCAAAGGAACGTTACGTGGCAAACCACGGCCTCTGCAATGAGCACCTCAACCAAATTGCACTGCCGAAACCACGTCAATAAATCAGCAACCCTCCCTGTCTTGGTGCAAGAATTGTAAAGATGTTGTAAGAAAACAACAAGGCAGCAAAAACGGGAACTTGTTGCGCTCCTTCTGTTGACACAAGGCTGTGAGCAGCCTTCCTGAAGGATGGATGCACTCCAATATTTGGTTTAGCAGAGGAGAGAATGGGAGAACAAGACACACAGCCCCTGTTTTTCTGTCAGAAATGACCCAGCGAGCTGTGTATTAATAGTCTGAACAACTATTTTAGGTAGGACTCAGAAGCATTCTCCTTTCTAAAATCAACACATGCTTCACCAGAATCAGATTGTCACAGGCATCCTCTCGCTCAACAAAGCGAGTAATTCCTGCACTTTCTGACGTGGTTTCTCTCAGCAGAGGAGGGTTCAGTGAGCTTCATTAAGGCAATTAACTTTGTGCTCGATAACACCAGGGACACTCTAGCCTGCATCAAGTTCAACTGGGGGTCATAACTAGCAAGACTTCTTCTCTTGTCTCTTTTTTTGTAATATTCTCACTATTTGGATAATGAATAGCTGAGGCACTAAAGCGATGAGACTCTCACGTGACCTTTTAGGTCTAAGTTTTTTTGTGACTGTAAGTTTCCTAGACAGGGTGTCTACACCCTGACCTTTGCACTAGCGCTGGATTTTCACCTCGATAATCAGACAGGCATCTCCTGAAGCATTCTCTCGGTGAACTCCGGATTTAGCTAGAAAAAGCAGGATTTAGGTAAGCGATTTCCGACGGCCCCATCAATCTCTGCGTGGCCAGACCTTTCAGAATGCATCCTCTCAAAGGATCGACTGCAGCAAGTTATACGTACACATGGAGACAGAGAGAGTATGTGTAACTGCACACTAGATGCTGACCTACTTGCTTCTGCACAAAGGTAAAAAGAAATCTCAGCCCTTCGTGCACAGATGTGGTCAAGATATCCCCTATCGGTCACGCAAGCAGGAATGACACACAGAACAAAAGCATTCTACAGAACGCTAAAAAGAGGGGGAATTGTAAAGCGCATTGGTCACTCAGAAAAACAGCTTAACGTTGTACAAATCGGGCAGCATTTTTCTTGTGTTATTTGTCAGCGTAACCTCATTACCCGTAGCTGCATACATCTGCTGCCTGCTCCTGCAGCCAGCATGTCTGGAGAGGTCTCTCCAAGCCACCAGCTGACAAACTACAACCAAGTCCTGCCATAGTATCAACCGCACCAAGATGGATGGGAAAAACACAGAGCTGTAACCCCCCAACCCCCAGCAACAATCCCTGTGTTCTTTTCTCTGATGTACTCTCTCCGTGCTACCCTCGAGCTGTTTGACCATCTGGAACTTTCCCCGGAATGCTGCTGCTGCTCCCTTTCCAGGTAGCTGGCACACGGGCAGGGTCCAGCATACCCGGACCTTGTCCTGGGCCAGTTACACCAGAAATAACCGAGTACCAAAGTGACCTTGCCAGGTAGGGCCAGCTAATACGGGAGGAGGAGATCCCTCCTGCGTGACAGTCCTGTCACCTCCTTCACCTTTCCCACCCCTCCCTTTCCTGCTAATTGGATTCTCATTAATGAGTCGGTTGATGTTTCTTTGCAGATGAAGGCCTACAGTATACAAGGCAAACTGTGCAGACAACTCCATTTATCCACTGCACAGCGATCAGTATACGGCTTCTTGAAAAGTAATAGCAAACTACTGGGTGTTAGCACTTCTCCATCTTTTCAGACACAAAAAGTGAATTAGAAGTGCATGTATTCCACAAACATCTACATACTTACATGAAAAATGCATACAAGAGACCTTTGTAAATTCAAAAACACTCTCTGCCTTGTAACCGCTCTTCAAATTCATCTTCTTTGCCGTTGAAGAGTGGCTTTCAAGGAAGGTCACTGGCCTCGTGAAAACGAGCTGCCTATCCAGGGAATCATTTACATAAGTAATACAGCTCCTAACGAAATGCCAAGGCTCTAACACCCCCTCTTCAAAGAAACAGGTGACGTGGAAATGGCAAAACCAAGAAGTTAATTCCAACAGCGTCTGGAATCTGTTTCGGAAAAATGACTTAAATCTGCTAGAGGAACTAAAGAAAAAGGCACACAACTTGTAGACCACTTTGGTGGCCCCTCACGATGAAGTAAGACAACACAACCGAGGAGAGAGCCCCGTAACCCACATCCAGATGGGATTTTTGTAGCACTACCTACAGAAATCCTTGTGCAAGCAAATATTTAACACACACTTCAGACCCGAGCTGGGAAGATTACTTTTAGCTGCACTTTCTTCCTTCAAGCTGCTCATTCTAAACCCAATCTGTGAAATTCAGCTCGTGACAAACCTCCGTATGACTTGAGAAAGTCACTCGGAGCGATTCAGAGAAATATCATTCTCGGTACGTTGCCCAGTACTCAGCTCTGCAGCTCAGAAACCCGGCTGTGCTTGTGCAACGAGCAGCACGTGCTCAGGGTCAGATAATTCCTTCCCTCGAGCATACACCGTGTATGGCCGAGACCACCAGACTCCAGACAACTGTTTCATTGGGACAGGGAAAAACATTCTTCTAAATAAACACGCAAATATGCCAACAGGTCTGACCATGTTTGCAGACACCAAGAATAGTTCCAAAAACGCACGCTCTAGAAAGACAACGGGATTGTATACACAGGGAGGCAGACAGTGTTTACCACTCAGGAAAGCCTGGACCAGAGGAGCTGGCGTTAAGTCACGTAAGAGCCTTGTTTTCCTGCAGTCACTCAGCCAAGTCATTTATCAACCCTTGGGGTAGGTGCAACCGCTGTACAAAGGTGAAACTTTCCCCTCGCCTCGGAAAGATTCCCTCTCCCTCCTGTCTTTCCTCCCATCGACTCCTGGACTGAAACAGAGATCAAAGCTTACAAGGAGATATACTAGGAAGACTGGAGTCAAGTGATTTCCCTGATCTAAACGAGGGAAACCACTCCAGATAATGCCAGAGAAAAGGAGAGAAACGCATCAGTAAGATGTGCACAGGAGCTCTCCTGTGCCTTTCAAACAGAGCCAGCTGCGGGAGCAGCAACAGGAAAGTCCAAAAGCCTCTTGACAGCGGCGGGTGTCAGCTGCCTAATACCACCAGAAAAGTTGCTTGTAATTAAAGGAACCCCATTTATGATTTTAACAAGGCGAGGAGCTGCCCTATGGCTACGATTAGTTCCTCGGGAAGTAACAGCCTCGCAGCATGCTTTGAACACTTGGACAAGCGCCGATTTCATAGGCACCCCCCGTTTATTTCCATCAAGCTGTTGAACATCGCAGTGAGGCTCCAGCTGTTAGGCCAGGGCCGCCCCCTCCCTCCCATCCCCTGAGCTGACGGTGCTAACATAACCCAGAGCTGGCAAAATTCTGCCGGATGCTCGCGAAAACGTGCATGGAGGAAGTACCTGGGGAGGGGGGGTGTGTGTGTTACATCTCCCCAGCCCCCTTCCCTCCAGATGTGAGCTGGAGAGGCCCGGGCCGGGGCCAGAGAGCCGATGACCACCACCGGGAAACAACGCAGGGGACAGGAATAGCGGGAGGACGGGCGGAGGGGCT